ACCCCGCCACGGCTCCTGGCGTAACTCGTTAAGCGCTAACGGTCTTGGCAGCCGAGGGCCACGTACTAATTAACCTGGCGTCGAGCTCCCAGAGCTCTGGGGTGCAGGGTGGGCCCGTGGTCCCGTCGGCAAGTTCCTTCTCCCCCTGTCACACAGAAGGGGAATGATCTCAAAGACGGCTTTTGCTTTTGTTGAACTCGAGTATGAACTTAAATCATTTAAGTGTCCAAATGAATGCTTGCTCCTTAAAAAAAAAGCCTATTAAACCTCTGCTGGAGACCGACGTCTTCTGTGGGTCAGGGATTGTTCGACAATACCTTGGATTTAGTCAAAAAACCCACATCGGTGAAGCCCCAAACGCAGAAAAGCGTTAAGGTGTGCTTTGACACAAGCTGCAACAGCCCATTTTTGGGGCGAAAGCCAGCTGTATCAGTCACACGTGCTGTCACGCTCTGCTCTTTCTCCAGATGTTCTGCGTCGCCGGGCAGAGAAACGCCACAGAGCCGAAGCAGAAGCCCCAATGAAGAGGAACTAACGACCGCTGCCCGTTACGTTGGATCGGCGGCTCCCCAGAGGTCCCCTCCAACCCCAACCCCTCTCCAAAGGCCTGCAGAAAATTTGGTAAAGGCTTCGCCGTGAGGTCAGAAGGAAGCGTGGTAGCAGAAGCAAGGTCCAAACAGGCACTTTTATTTGTGGTTGCAACGCTGACATCGACAGAACCGTCACACACGATGTGGGGAACGCGCGCGGACGCTCCTGCCAGAGGTACGTCCTTGCGCAGGAGCCCCAGTGCATAGTAGGAGTAGCTAACACCTCTGAGAAATACATTTTAAAAAAAGGAATTTTTTTCATAGAACATCAACCTTGCAGGTTTTAGCAGTTTTTTACTTGTCCTGGCCCGATTCAGTGGACGATTCAGAGCATGCGTGGTTTGTAGGGACAAAAGTTGCATCTCACACGACAGAAAAGAGCGCGGTTATTCTTAAAGACAGACAGATTAATTAAATACACTGAGGCGCAAGGAGACGTGCTCCAAGCGCACGGATCAGCCCACGTTTGCAGAAAGAAATAACCCAAGTCACGGAGCGAAGCCTTTCCGGACACTAAAATCCCTCCGGACAGCTGCCCTCGCCTGAGTGGCTCAGATTTTTTCCCCAAAACCCCTCGTTTAGTGGAAGATTTGCCTCTCTGCTTTCCGAAGCTCTCGGCGAGCGCAGCGCATGTAGTTTTCAGCTTTGAAAAGCCGGCTGCTTCAGCTTACTGGAAATAGGAACCCCAAATTCTGCTCAAATACCAAGTTTACAGAATGCAGCAGAGCCAGCCCCACAGCCCAAAGAACAAATTTTGCTAAATTTAGTCTCTGCTTCAACGTTTTTATTTCCAGCCCTAAAAATCTCTACTGTCTATTGGCTGTTTATGCAAATAAGTCAAGTTACTGATGGTCCTCTGCTATTTCGGACAGCGTTTCCACAACCAAAGTGTCTGGATATAAAAAGAGAACAGCTAAAGTCACGGAACGAGAGCCAACTTACCCTCTAGACAAAAATTTCCAACGGGAAATAAAACAATCAACCTCAAAACCTACACCAGGATGTCAGAGGAAAAAATTAAACTAATTCAGGACCAGCATCAGGCTGGAGAAAGTATTTTCTCGTAGGTGCTGGTATAGCCGTAAACTGAATATATTCCTGTAATTATTCCCTTAATTATTCCCACTTATCCCGAACTGAGACAATTCTCCTCTTTTTAGCTTTACCTTCACCTTTTCAGCTTTAGCTTCACCTTTTCAGCTTCACCTTTTTAGCTTTAACTTCACCTTTTCAGCTTCACCTTTTTAGCTTTACCTTCACCTCTTCTTTTTAGCTCTACCCCCCAGCACTGGATCGGCTACATCGAGATGCGAGGAAAAAGGTGCTTTAGAGAAACGATGGCGTTTTATTCCAGCAAGCGTAGATCTACACCTGCAACCGGCTTCGGGCCAGGGCACTTACGTCTCAGCGTGCTGCCAGACAGGTATTTTAAAATCTGTCACAAAAATAGTACTGGAAGAGATCAAAATAACGGCTAAAACAACTGGTAAAAAGCAAAATATACAAAACCCCCAAACCATTTAATAATTCAGATAGAAAACGTTCCTTGTATCTTACAAAAAACACTACAAGGATCTAAAGAGTGCCAAGAAATATGTATAAAAGCAGGAAAATATACCCTTCAGCACAAATTAAAGGTGGCTAAGCAAATGCTTGCGATAAAGAGGGCTTGCATTTTTTAAGGCGGGGAGGTGCCTGTGGCCCCACAAGCCTCCTGCTGCCGCTGGCCACCCCGTGCTTTGGGAGCTGCTGAATTGGCCACCAAAGCCCCACCGCATTTATTTTTAAACAAATTAAACCACAAAAAAAGTACAATTTGTGGTGGTGACTATGCCCGGGCGAGCCTCCTGTTGCTCAAAGGACGCAGCTGCGCCTATCAGAGGTTTTAATTTCATTAAATTTGGGGTTTAAGTTTAATGTTCGTGTTTTGGTGATATTTAACCCCCTTTAATCTCTTTCTCAAACACTTTCCCCTGTTTCTCCTGACAGGAGCTGCCAAAAGTCTGGACCTTCCCCGTGGAAACAGCAGTCAGCTACGAGGCCAGGCCACACCGTGGCACCTAAGGACATAAGGCAACCTGTTGTTTGTCATTTGGTTTGCGTAAAATTACCTAACATTAACCTAAAATTAACAAAAACATCTATACATTACTCCTTCACCGTGCCCGCAGGGGGGCTCCTCCCAAATTCGTCACACAGGCAAAGCGGTTTGTTCGACAGTTAGGGAAGGCTTTGCTGTAAATTACTTTTTGTTTTTAAGTAGATAACGCAGGATTTTGGGGGGAGAGGAATCAGTAGAAGCTGTCAGTCCCAGAAAGACGCAATAACTGTACAGAGCGTCTGTCCATCCGTGCGTTGGGCCCAAGTCCTGCTCGTTAACCCCTCGTTTCCCTCCACCTTCACCCTTCCCACGTGGCTCTAAGAACACTAATTGGCATATTCCTACACGAATTACTTGTCTACATGTGCTCAGCACAACCCCAAAGCCAGGCCCTGAGGCGTCTCCAAAAGGTGGCGAGGGAAGCAAGGCGATTTCAGCGCGTTTCAGTGCTCTGGGTAGGCATCAACAACTGCAATAAAATACTTTAGGGGTGCTGCTAATAAAAACCAAGTCCAGGAGCTGCTCAAACCCCGTTTGCTGGTCACCGCAGCGCCTGGATTTACCCCCGCGCTAAGGGACAGCCGAACGCCGCTGCCCTGATGGTAACAGCAGCTTTTTTACCAGGATAAAAATAAAATAAAATAATTAAGTCCAATTAAACTCGCTTTGGTGTGTCGATTGACAGCCCGGAAGACGGAACTTTGCCCCGCGTTGGAGACGTTTCCCCGCTGCTTTCACCAGCACCTGCGCTGGCAGGATTGGGCCGGGAACTCCCCAGCTCCGTAGCTGAGCTGGCTGGGGACCAAGGGGACGTTTGCTGTAACGAGTTCGCGGAAGCGGACACGCTAGAGCGGCCTTCGTTTAGCAACCCCGAGGATTTAAGGTTGAATCATTAACGCTAACCCATTCCCCTTTTTAGTGAGCCACCC